CCTCCAGCGGCTGCTGCAGGACTTCCGGAGGCGCCGGACGCCGCTGCAGCTTGAGATGCAGCGCATGGTCGAGAAGGTGAGCAGGGGCAGCGGGTGCAGCTGCTGTAGGAGGTGCCCACAGCCCCTAGGCCTAGCCTCGCTCATAGCCCAGAGTCTGCGTGCTTTTGTCCCCACCCCCTCGCTTCTGAGGACCTGAGCAAGCAGCCCCTTGTCACGGGAGGTCAGAGGCAAGGTTGGCATGCCTCGACCCTCCCCACGAACCCTAACGTGCACGTCTGTCCCACAGGCCGACAGCTGGGTAGAGAAGGAGGAGCCGGCGCCCAGCAACTGAGGCCCTTGTGGTCCGGTCTGCGATGAGCCTGACGGACACCGTGAGAGCCCCTTGGTAGCAGAGCGCAGCTGCGGCAGGGCCTGGGCCTGGCAGGGTGGCTGACCCTGGGCTCGGCCTCCGTGGGGATAGCCAGCCTTCAGGGTGGGGTCCATGCTGTGTGGAATGGATGTCGGGAACCCCGGTTCCTGTTACAGCTCAGTACATCTCTGCACCCCTAGAATGTCGTTTTGCCCTCACCCTCGGATCTCTCCTGGGGCCCTTTAGTCCCGTCCTCTTCCAGTTCAGCTAAGACAGGGAGGAAGAGGCCTTGGAGTGTGTGACGAGGTCTGTGCCAGTGAACGGAAGCGGCAGATGTGGAGTCTGGCTGGGGCCGAGGAGCCCCTTCCCTGGCGGGGTCCAGGTGCAGACCCTGGGGAGGTCTCCCCACTGTCCCAGGAGTGGCGTTGGTGCGAGAAGGCGCTCAGTGCTGGGCCAGTTCACCCAGAGCCCTGCTCCCGCCACCCCAGACTCAGAAGAAGCCAGCACCTCTCCCCGCTCCTGTGTTCGGAATGTGGTATTGGCTCTGGCCCAGCCTCTTCCCTTTCACCCGTAATTCTCGCCTCTTTCCATAATCCGTGGTTTCTGTTTGACTTTGTATATAAAGTTGGGTTTTTTTTTTTTTTTTTTGGCTTTTTGTTTTTTAAATAAACCAAAGTCAAAAACAAACCAAGTGTGACGTCCACAGTCCCTGCCCTCCACAGTCCCTGCCCGGAGAGCGCCCTCCTGCCCTGG